TGAGGAAATGAGAAAGACCAAGAGATGCTGAGTCTTAGAATGGCTTGATGAACTAAAAAGGCCCTGAAGATACATTCTCAGAACTAAGACCCCAGGATGAGACCTGACAGTGAAAGCCCAAATTGAAACCCTTACAAACTGATCCACACATATGATAACCATTCTGGTTGACAGCAGCTGCATCAGCAGTTTTATTAATCATGCTTTCATCAACAAGCACCAACTTCCAACCCAAGCCACTGCAGCCTTGATCCCAGTCTACAATGCAGATAGTATGAAGAATCAAGCCAGCTTGATAACTGAGTTTATCAAACTGCAGCTTACTATCAGGGATCACTCCAAATGGATCAACCTAGCTATAACTGACCTCAAAACAAAAGAAGTATTCCTTGGCCATGATTGGCTCATCTGCCACAATCCCCTAGTCAATTGAAAAACCAGGAAGATAATATTCACATGGTGTAGATGCTGGAAGATCCTGTTCAAATTACCAGATGAGGATTCTGAAGATTGATGAGATGAGGAGATAGAGAACAGAGAGACTATACTCACCATCAACATTCAGCAGGCTCTATATATACAGACCATACACCATGCAAATAACTTAGCAGCAAAAGCCACTGCAGGAAGGAAGAAAAAAACATTCAAGGAGATGGTGTCTGATTGGGCCTGAGACTACTGAGACTTGTTTGAAAAGGAGAGTTTCAATGAGCTCCCAGAACCAAAGCTATGGGACTACACCATTGAACTAATTCTCAATGCCAATGCCAACCTTGACTGCAAGACATATCCCCTCAGAAACAATGAGCAACAGGAACTTGATAAGTTTCTAGATGAGAATCTATCTAGTGGAAGGATCCAACCATCCAAATCACTGATAGCCTCACTATTTTTCTTCATTAAAAAGAAGGATGGCAAACTCCAGCCAGTCCAGGACTACCAAAAGCTCAATGAAATGATGATCAAGAACTGCTACCTACTTCCATTGATCTCAGAATTAATGGACAAGCTCAGGAGGGCCAAATACTATACCAAGTTGGATGTTTATTGGAGATACAATAACATCTAGATCAAGGAAGGCAATGAATGGAAGGCTGCCTTCAGAATCAACTGAAGATTATTTGAGCCAACAGTCATGTTTTTTGAGTTAACAAACTCACCTGCCAACTTCCAATAGATGATGAATGATATTTTTAAGGATCTCATTGCCATTAGAAAAGTCACTATCTATCTTGATGACATTCTTATTATATCCAAAACCAAGAAAAAACACAGGGCACTAGTATAACAAGTACTCACACTAATGAGAAAGCACAAACTCTTTCTGAAGGTCAAAAAATGCCAATTTGAAGTCTTGGAGATGGAGTATTTGAGAGTCATCATCAGCAAAGAAAGCATTTGGATAGACCCTATCAAAGTAGTGGGAGTAGTTGAGTGGCCAAAGCTGACAAAAAAGAAAGAACTCTAATCCTTCTTAGGATTCACAAACTTCTATCATTGGTTCATACAAGACTACAGTAAAGTCATCTGACCAATGATGCAATTGACCAGCAACACCCTCTGGACCTGGAGCCTATCGCAACAGACAGTATTTGAAGACTTAAAATGCCACCTAGCAGAGGATGTAGTATTGGCCATTCCAGATCAGGATGAAAAATTCTGAGTGGAAGCCAACTCAAGCAAAGGAGCAATAGGAGCTGTCCTCTCCCAGGAGCAAGATGGAAGATGGAGACCAGTCACCTTTCTCTTTAAGGCTCTGACAGTGACCAAATGGAACTATGAGATTTATAACAAGGAGCTACTTGCAATAATGCTCATTCTGAAAGAGTGATGGCACTACCTCATTAGTGCCACCAAAACTTTTGAGATCTAGACAGACCATCAAAATCTCAGATATTTCTGGCAGCCACAGAAGCTGAATCAATGACAAGCCTGCTGGGTGACAGAGCTAAGCCAATATCTCTACACTCTACACCATAAGGTAGAAACTGCAAACAAAAAGGCTGACCTCCTCAGCCAAAGGGCAGATCACAATCAGGGAGGACATGACAATGAGGGGGTGATACTGTTGAAGCCTGAGCACTTCTGAGCTATAATCATACCAACCAAAGAGGAGATCCATGAGTGAATCAAGAGCATGATCAGAGATTCTAGTAAATGAGATCAACATATAGCCTCATCCCTGAATCATGAAAGAGAAATGATGAAGGAAGAGGGGACTGATCCACTATGACAGACAAATCTACATTCTCTGAGACCAAGGACTACAGAATGAGATCATCACCATGTGCCATGATCATGCCATCAAAGGACATCCAGGAATCACCAAAATGAAGGAATTGGTGTTACAAGAGTACTAGTGGCCAAAGATGAGGCAAGATATTGAATGCTATATAAAGAGGTGCAAGACCTGCCAATGGGGAAAGCTCTTCATGCAGGCAAAAGCAGCACCACTTCACCCAAACAAAGTGCCTCAATCACTCTGGACCTATATCTCTATCAACATGGTCACAGGACTTCCAGAATGTAATGGCTATGATGTAATCATTGTCATTATTGACAGGTTCTCAAAAGTGATCATCCCAATTGCATATTTCACAGAATTAACATCTGAAAAATAGGCAAAGATTCTTTGAAACAAAGTCTATGTGAAATATGAGATGCCACAGATGGTCATTTCTGACAGAGGACTGCAATTCATCTCTAAATTTATAGACAACTTATATAAACTGCTCAATATCTGATGGAATGCCTCCACCACATACCACTCACAAACTGATGGCCAGACAGAGTGAGTTAATCAGAAGGTGGAGAAATACCTTCATCTATTCATCAACTATCAACAGGATGACTGGATTGAATAGTTGGCTCTTGCAGCCTTCCAACATAATAACTGCATTCATTCAGCAACTGGCAAAACACCATTCTTTATCAACTATAGATGCCACCCAAACATTTCTCAAACAAAGGCCACTTATGTCATGATGCCAGCCTTGGCTGACTTTGCAACAACCATGATGACCATCCACAATAAAACCCACATTGCCCTTGAAAAGGCAGCATCAGCAATAAAGAGGCAGTATGATAAACACTGGTGGCCTGCACATGCATATAATATAAATGACAAGGTCTGGCTTGACACCACCAACCTTCACCTTCCTTGACCAAAAAAGAAGTTATCTGACAAGTGAACTGGACCATTTCTGATACTCACCAAAATTGGTGACTCAGCATATAAGCTCTGTCTCCCAACTCATTGGAAGATTCATAATGTCTTCAATGAAATACTACTGACCCCATATGTTGCATCTGCATTTTCCAACTAACACCAACCTCCACCACCACCATCTGACCTAATTGATGATGAAGAACATTATGAAATTGATCAGATTCTCAATCATAAATTATGAAAAGTTAGAGCAAAGGGTGGAGGATCAATGACAACTGTCAACTACTTCATCAGTTGGAAGAGATATGGGCTGGAATCCAATCAGTGGGTAAACAAAAAGCAGATGAATGTGGCAGATGCTATCCAAGATTATGAACTATCTCTAAATTAAGCCATCAGGACAATGGTCTTAAGAAGGGGGTAATGTTATGATTTTTCTGCTTTTCTTCCTTTATTATATGGATTAACTCCTATTTATGCTTAGTCAGAGTGCCAAAGCCAGTGCTTGAGACCATGGGACTGGCTTAGTCATCACATAGCCCAGTTGGTCATTATTTTTTGATGCAACAGCATTGCCCAACAATGTATAATAACACTATTATAGGTAGTAATGAGACTCAAGGACAATGAGCACAATAGCAAGCAGTGACACAACTAGTAGGAGTATTTATAGGAGCACCATACCATATATATAAGTAGGATGGCTCTTGCTGGTATAACCCAGCTTCAAGCTAAAGTTTATCCATATACCATTCTACTCTTGAGCCAATCACTAAGGTCTTGTTGCATCATGATCTATATTCACATCAGTGGACTCCACTGTTTTACTTGAAGTGCAAAGTGATGACAGGTTATCATGTGTTTAGGATCATATGCAGCTTGAGTCTAACACTTGGACACAGTCTCAATATTATTAACATGGAGACCACAATAAAATAATATTTTGGATTCTGCAGATGAGACAGTAGACTTATGTCATTATTGGAAACTTTAAAGCATCTTGAAATATGCACTCCTCAGAAAATGTATAGCATAGTTGAAAAGTAAATTTCAGGCTTCACCTGGTAAAATCACAGTGATGAGGAGATGGAGGCCTGCAAGAATGAAATTAAGTGTACCATCTCATCTGCAGAATCTAAAATGTTATTTTATTGTGATCTTCATGTTAATAATATTGAGACTGTGCTCAAGTTCCATAAGACAATACTGCCTGCTGATGGTTTCCTTGAGATCTGGACGACAATCCAAATACATCGCCAACGTGCCAACGAAGATGTTGAAATGGATGGCAAAGGGTCATTAACGAGCTCCCAATACCTGGGTGTAAGGTTCAGGATATTGTCAGCCGTTAAATCTTTTCGTGGTAATGAGTACGTTCAAAGATTGATCGGGAGTATTGATACTTACTGAAATGTTACTCCATAGACTTGCACCTTGCATATGTAAGTTCACTTTGTTCTTCGAGTGGCATATTTTCAGGAAGAATCTGCCACAAAGATGTCGTCGCCAGCTGGGATGTTGAGCACATTGAAGCAATAGGTTTGTTTACTGGGTGATGAGGCTTAGTCGAAACAGAATGAAATGCAAATATAAACACCAGCTCATCAGTGTTTCGATGGGATCTGACATTTACGGAAGTATCTGGCTAGATAGATAAGTAAATACAGGCAGGAAGTTGGTTGTATATCGCCGAAAGCATATCAACAAGCCGCGACAGTATCAGGTGACGATACAATCAGAATTAGGCAGCCACTAGAGGTGACTGGGGATCATAACATGAGCGACCCTCACAATTGATAATCGGCACACATAAAGCCACCTTGATCCACATTTACGCTGTCACAAGGGCGCATACCGTCATAAGAGAATACTTCCCGGAGCAGGCCATGGAGAAGTGAATAGGCGAAACTGGAGAGTCTGTCTGGAAAGTGATATCACATTGCAGCCTCTTTACGCACGTCGTACATCCCCATCATGATGCCCAGGTAGAGGGAGAAGCATTTCGCATACGACAGAGCCCGACGTGAGACCGGAGAAGAGTGCGGTTATGAAATGTAGGAAGGCCTAGACAATCGTGTTCCGAGTCGTGATAACCTAGATGGGTGAAGAACGCGAATGCAACCTGTATCGTGATGCGAGAAACAATACACCGCATATTCAATCGCGGTGGACCGGCGGTGTCCATTCCGAGAATTCGCCGATGTGACATTATCACTATGGACCAATGTGATCTTTCCCAGAAAGAGACGCCCGGTTCGCAGAGATGTATATGTCAACAACTACCAATTCCATTGACAATGATCATGTTGGCTCGGCGGTGCTGTTTTCCAACGATATTTGGCATTGATCCTCAGTCCGGAAAGAGACATCGCGTCAGCTTTCGATGCTAGGAGCTACAAGCAAAATTCGCTGTTTGCGTGCTGTCGCCCTATCCACATCAGGTTCCATTTAAAGCGGGTGAGCACCGATACGGCAGGAATGTCGAATACGTTGGCCGGCTCGGACGTGGACCCCTGACATAAAAGTACAGGTACACGAAATAGACCTTGGATGTCGCTATCCTCGTTTTCTGATCAATTTTATTAAGATTGAGGACAGGTTAAGATTCCTTACCGCTCCCACCTCATTCATCAAAGTAACCGCAGACGAAATCTGAAACGTCAGTCCAAATCTTGCCCCAAACGATCTTGACCTTATCAGAGCGGTCAGAGTGAGTCATTGCCATGAACATGATTGACACTCACCACTGATTCCTTGGGTCCGCATAGCACTTGCTGGGGATATATAAAACGACTCCCACGGTTCAGAGTCAGGAGGAAAAGGCGGGCACGCTACGTCGCATCGAGGTTACGAGCGAACGACGTTGAGATCCGAGCTAAAGACCCACGATGTTAACAGCACCTTCTCTCAGATCTGATATTAGAAAACCAAAACGTTTGCTGAAGATGGTTGAATTTTGGGCGTATCTCTTCCACAGAGTTGTTATCCAAACGGGCGTAAGGAAGCGCAACGAAATACACATGTACCCGTGAAGGGCTAAGATAGACCGTGGCATAACGAGTGGGGGTCGAAGGGAAAAGAAGCCGGACCGGTGAACAACGTTAAGTACTGACACGTAACGCTATGTCTGTGAAGAAGTAATTTCACGGCGAACCTCTTCGCACAATATACACGCTACTCAACCAAATTCTAGCAGCGAGGTGGGATGTTGTCGAGAAGGTTGATTTAGCATCCGGGGACTCGCCTTATGAACTGGAGAAAGAGCCCAAGTACGGACGTACAGATCAGTAAAGAGTACTCTACTCGCTGCATCTTCGTTACGTTCGTTTCGGTATCGATTGACAGTGGCTCCCTTGCCCCCCTGCAATTGTTCAGAACATGATGATAATCTTCGTCAAAAAATTCGGCAGTGAATTCGATCTCCCGCCGAGGATCGCTCCTGGGCGGTGATTGATGATCCGAGGGGTATGCCACGGAGAGAAGGAACAGCCTCTCTGTCGTTGTGGCAGGAGAAAGGTTGAGGATGTATAGGCATCTGGGTTCAAGAAGCACGTCACATTCCACACGAATAATTCCAGGTCAACGGTTGTAGCCGTTTGGGAATACGGGCAAAAGAGAACCATGAAGACCAAGTCTTCGCGAAAGCGGGGAAGGAGGATGGTCCTATTCATATACGCGTGGCGGCCCAATCGAGGAGAGAACTCGATTGCAGAGAGATTTTGTTGTACATGCGCAAGGTAGTGATTCATACCAACCTAAGAGATAAAGCTCAGTCTTGAATCAAGAATGCAGATGAAGCTCTATCACGACCGAGTTCATTCCTTTATCGCTCACTCGTGCTCTCCGGAATTGAGATACTACGATGCCGCAAACCTACGAGAGGTTCATGGCAAGCGTTGATGTGAACCGGATAGTTCGAGGGCTTGGATCGTATATATTCATTCACCCCATGCAACTTCCAATTCTGCGACCCTGTCCTATGCTTTTAGAAACATATATGTATATCTCAGTTTCTCATGGCATCAAAGTCAATAATTAGGTCGCGCCATTGCTAACCTCATCAAGTGCTACGACCTCCCTTGCTTACGCGTGCAACCTCTTACAAGCAATTTGCAAGTCACTCGAAACCATCAGAATGAGCTGCGAGTTTATCGGGAAATACTACTTCATTTCTAAGCGATGTTCCGTTCCTTTGTGTGCGACGTTGGGGTAAGGACACTTCTGCGGCGTCACTGCCGAAAGAACGTCTCGCAGTATGGCCATAGTCTATTATTGCAGGTCCCCGGGTATTATAAGTCTAGGCATCGCGTAGCACCTGTCGTTCAATCGTTTTCGCCTGGGTCCCGAGTCGAGGTGGATGTCTACTCGCTTAGGGTGGGATGGAAGTACGAAGTAACAAGCTCTCCTTTTTCGCTTATGTTCTTTCCTTGATGTGAATCTCGAGCATCGAAACCATATAACCTCGTGGCTAGACATGTCTCCGGGACGCCCTACGGCTGGACGTATATAAAGGAACAAGCATTGCGACTGACCGTGCCCGCCTTTGCGAAAGAAAATGTGGTCATCCTCGTTCTTACCAGCCTTCGTCTCCTCGTCACTGCAACTTTACGAGGCAATACATACAATTTACTCTTCGATTCCAGTGAAACGTGCGGAATCTTTGCACTAAAAAGAATATGGGATACGATACAATTGATGTCGATGAGATGATGATGTGATATGCGATGTGCTACACGTGTACAGAAATAGGAAATTTGTCCGTCTTGTCTTGTAGAGATGGGGTGTTAGGAATGTACAAATGCAAATAGCGATAAGAACGGAGAGATGAAAGAACGGTAGAAATTGATACCACGTATGAGCGATGATTAGGCCTGAAGCGGTCAGTGGTAGAGGTCCAAGATGACCATGCAAGTCGTTCAACGATAATGCCGCTGGGTGCCGCTGGGTGCTACTCCGTCATTGGTCAGGCCATATTGTAGTCATATACTGGCTCCGCCGCGGTAACTCAACCTGAACTATCATGGGAAGCAGGGAAAAGGGTAGTATGAAGAAGGTGCTGGAAGTTATCAGGAATCGGGAGTGGGTGGTGGTAAAGTCGGCTGTCGCCGGATGGGTGTGCGGGACGCAGGGCTATTGAATCGGTGGGTGAATCCGGTATGTAGATAGACTGTAACGGTCCTCATAATTCAAAGAGAATGACGACGTGAGAGATAGCTTACATATTTAGACAGGATTCTCTCAAGCGCCTGTCCAAGATCCGACCATTCAAACACTTTGAGGTCTTTCTCAATATTCCGGGGCTTTGGATCAGGGAACTGCATGATGCGCTGGAAGAAAGTGTCTGAACCATGTCTATGTTTGCTGACGGTTGTTGGCTTCAACCTCTCCAAATTGCGCCTTATGCGGTTTTTCTCCTCGACAGGAAATTCTTCGTTGGTGAGCCTCTCGAGCAAATAGATGATATCCACGCTGGTGACATAGAATGGGAAGCTTTCATTCCTGAAGATACAAGAAATGACGGTGTCTTTGTCGCTGTAGTCATCCTGGCGGATAGCCTCGCAAGAAAGAATGAGTTTGCAACCATCTTGGCACTTGTGAAAACGAACGAGTCTCCGACCCATTAAGACTTCGAAGGGATTCCAACCGGAGCACATAGTATCAAGAGGGGTTATGATATCGAGAATAGGAGTGTGGGGATGGAGGTTGATGTCCTGTGGAGAGCCATAGTTAGTGCGCACGAGGGAATTAGCACGAATGTGGCGTGATGGTGGTCTGCGGTCGGAAATAGTCTGAGAAGGAGCTGACAGTGGGTTGTGTATACTGGTGGTAGTATTGGTCGGTCGGGGGAGGACTGGCACCTGGGAAGCCGCTACCAGCTGCGAAGCTACCGAAGATGGCTGAGAGGCCACGACTGGGGGGATCTGTACGGGAAGATCGGGTTCCTTGTAGGTAAAGTAGCCAACGAAGACAGAATGGAGAACGTTGTTCTGCGAGTCAACTACCTCGATGCTAAGGGCAACCTTCAGATAACGCATTCTGTGCGGAATCGTAGCACGAAGATGATAACGGTGATATTTTTCAGAAATCTTGGAGACTTGAGTGGTGACTGCTGTCCAGCCAATGTGTAGACGTAGATATATTTGTTCTCGGGTAGGATAGTAGAAGTAAAGTTGGACAAAAATAGGGACACCGGCGTTGCCTTCGGAGGGATGGTAGTTGAGGACAGAGATTATAGGCAAGTATGGGTAGGACATGGCGGTTGGAAGGAAAGACGGGTGGAAACTTGCAGGAATCATGCACGCCAAAGTCAACCTGTGCACTCTTTCAAATAGGGGTCTTGACGCTTATTTATTTCGATGTCTGTTCTCGCCTCGTGCTAGCGTCAGTCACCGACCGCTATAGCACGTACCTGAGGTCCATCATACATGAAGACTCGAAATATTGTTTTTTTCATATGTGCCCGACTGTTTGATCATTTTAATACAGGTAAGATGTTGGCATTCGCAGCGTCCACCTGTCCAAATTAGGATCACTGGCGGCACATGCCCTTCACCCGATATGACTCGGCCGCAGAGAGCGGGCAAGACGTAATTCTCTTCCACTGGAGATCGGCCTACTCGACGATCCCAGAAATGTTGAGCACGGCACTCCTCATTTCCTTCGTCCCTTGCTCTCATTTTGCAGCCCTTGCAGCCGTTCGTTTACCTGCATGCCGGGACGTATAAAATTTGGTACCATATAATGTGAGTGTGTGCAACTTCTGTCATACCTTTCTGTCTAATGGGTCTTTCACAGTTGATCTTGTTTCTTTCGTCAATATAACCGTTGACCTGGAATTATTCGTGTGGAATATGACGTGCTTCTTGAACCCAGATGCCTATACATCCTCAACCTTTCCCCTGCCACAACGACAGAGAGGCTGTTCCTTCTCTCCGTGGCATACCCCTCGGATCATCAATCACCGCCCAGGAGCGATCCTCGGCGGGAGATCGAATTCACTGCCGAATTTTTTGACGAAGATTATCATCATATTCTGAACAATTGCAGGGGGGCAAGGGAGCCACTGTCAATCGATATCGAAACGAACGCAACGAAGATGCAGCGAGTAGAGCACTCTTTACTGATCTGTACGTCCGTACTTGGGCTCTTTCTCCAGTTCATAAGG